CCAAATCCACATTTTTCCATGATTAAAACGAAACGTCACTAGTATATAGATATATGTATAGCGGTGTTTCATTTTAATCATGAAAAAATGTGGATCTGGAATTACCTCTTTAAATCCGAGAAAACCAGGATCCCTGCATATCAGTAGCCCCCTCACAGCTGCAGCTTAAGGAGACAGGCCTGTTACAGCCTCATTCAAAGACAGCCAAACTATCACGACTCAACAAAACTACAAAAGTATAGAGCATTTCAGGAGGTGAAGCTTTCTTATGTCTCAGTTTTAGTTGGAAACCATGAAAGATTGACCAGAACACATTGTGTTCTACATCTTTAAAGTGAAATAGAGTTTATTACTTTCTGTGTTTACATTTCTACAGCAACAGACTACACTTCACAAAAAATATGGTGCTTTTTGTAGGTACCATAGAAACATAGTATTTGCTCAATTAATAATTGAAGCATCTAAGATGTATTAGATGTGCAGGTTTTTACCGTTTAGTGTATTGAATGTCTAAAACAATTTAGTCAGATTTGTCTAATTATATTTTATCATTTAAACGGAGAAAAAACAGCAGTAGGGTCTTACATTTCTCATTAGGTCAGTCTGAATGATCAGTTAATGAAATGGCATTAAATCACTTAAGATTTTTATAATCAGTAAAGTTACAGTTACAGGAGACCCTTGCCATTCACGGGGGATACGCTCTAGAGATCTCCACGAATGGCGAAATCCACGAATACATACTGTACTGCGTCATGAATGGCGTGTGCCCCCAGCGGCTGGCAGCTGTGCTGGCAGTGGCGGCAGGAGCCCGGCGGCGGCAAGCACAGAGTTCCCACAGATGCTGCTGGCGCTGTCACAGTGTCATCACGCTGCCAGTGGGGAGAGAGCGTGGGTTGGCGCAGCACCACGAGTATTCAAAACCGTGAATGCCAAATCTGCGAATAGCGAGGGTTTCCTGTACTTCAGTGTAAAAATTTAAAATTAACTCATAGGTTCATTACTAGTAATTTGCATTATGAATTGAGTGTTGTAGCAATAACCTGATTACTATCATCCATATTCAGGACAGAATTACAAAGAAAAGTAATTGCAATTAACCTAGATTAAATTGAACATGAAAATCAATAACTCTACTAAAAAGTAATCCAGTTAGAGAGAGATGAGCAAGTATGTTAGTTGGAGGACAAAGCAGTGTGACTTAGAGGTGTGTGTGTGTGTGTGTGTGTGTGTGTGTGTGTGTGTGTGTGTAATCCATTATTTATCATCTGTGTGGTGGTACTGTTTTTGTTGATCCCCATTCATATGTAGGTATAGAAAACCTCTTCACACTTACCCTGCCCCACCTGACTCCATTCCCACTCACTTCCACTCCCCTGCCTCACACCAGGAGAAATCTCTCCCCACCACTTTCCCTCTCAAGTCCACAAAGCTCTCTCCTGCAGGAGATTTGTGGCTGTCCCCAAAAATAGATGCATTCTTCCCCTCCCCCCAACAAACACAATCTTACATCAGAAGAATCAAAATGAGTACATAACAGAAATACCTTCTGTTCTGGCTTCCATTCCTGCCAAAGGCCAACAAAGGGTGCCCTTAAGTTCACTTACAGCAGCTCCTGTTCAGGGAGGTCTGCTGGCACCGTGCAAGATGACCAAACCTTTCTACCTTACCTTGGCAGCCTGTTGGTGACAGGACTCTTAAGTAGGAATTTTAAGCCATATCAAAATTGTATGGCTCAGTCATGGGTTCCCCATTTCATTTGATCAGTTCATTTAACTTATCCATACCTCATTTTCTCCATCTGTCCAATATTTTGAGTACATTTAGATGTACAGTGAAAGGTGTAGCATATATGCAAAAGGAATATCCAGATAAAGGACAAAACCCTATTTAGTAGTATTGTCAATACACAATGTATTAGCCTGCCAAATGCTAAATAACTATATTGCCCATTCCCTCATTTACTTTTTCTTATTGTATTCTTGTTTCCTCTTGTTGTGTTCTCATTTTATTTTAGGGCCTCACTCTGGAAACAGTCTTTAAAAGTAGGCCCATTACATCCAGTGACATAAGATATGTAAATGTTTCATTGGCAAGAGCTTGCCTTTCTCTAAATGATCAATAAAACTGTACCTGTGTGGCAGAATATAAATAATAGTTTATCATCTTTATCAGAGGTGTAAATGGATGCAGTTCTGATTCTTAATTCGTATGATACAGAAATGTAGTGATAATTTTACTCTTTTTGAGTTATCCTTTAGTCCTTTTTTACAAGCCTTTTTTTCCCTTAACCCCTGTAATGTTCTTAACACATACTTCTCTACCACTTGCAAAAAAAAAAAAGGAAGAGGGGCAGTCTCCAAGGTCATTTTTAATTATTTGTTTTGATCAACTGACAGAGGATATTTAAAGAGTGTGGTCGTCTTCATACTTTGAGAGACTGTGATCCTGCCTCAGTCAAGTCAAGTAGGCCATAACTGGTAGCGATCTGCCAGAGCTCCCTTGACTTTCATGATACTAGTTACTAGAGTTTGGAGGTCAGTATTACCATACTCTTTTGTGTTGCATCAAGCACCATGAAAAATATGGTTTTATGTGACCAAAAGCAGAGATAAGTTAATTTCATTCTGAATATAGACAGTTGGAAGCCAAAAGATTAGCTTAATAGTAGATGGAATATAGACCCAAGAGCTTCATCCTCCTTCCTAGAATGATTATTGTACTGTTTCTCTCTTTGCAGCTTCATATATAAACATTAAGGCCCCCTTCTGCATCCTGCATGTTGCTACTTTCATTACTTAATAAAGGTAGAATTCTGGACATGGCAGGATTTATTTTTGCAATATATTAATGCTGTATTTTGTTCCAGCAGTTTCTGGAAGGGATGATAAACTGCTAGGAGGAGTAAGCTTATACATTAGTGGAAAAAAAACTTTGCCAATAAATCAAAGAATATGTAACTGAGACACAAAGATAAATATGTTTATAGTTGGTAACCATGGATGGTGGCTAAAATACAGTTATTTTTCACTGTCTCCAACAATGTTGGAAGACATTTTGTCAATGGGAGGTAGAATCCTTTTTAAAACTGTTGTGTGCTGTCTGCTTCAAGTACCATGAGTAACTCAATGCTTTGTGTGGGGTTTTATTACTTGGCAAGAATCACTATGACTAAATCTCAAAAGACTGCTTTTTAAAATTACATTTATTTATATATTATATTTCTTGTTTGCCAGGAGAATAATCAAACCATGTATGGTCTGTATTTGTAAAATGCATCTAAGCAGTTTGCTAAACATTACTGGAAGACTGTTTAGCTGTAAATAAATTCACTTACTTGTCAGAACTTGGAGTTCTCATGTTAATCATGACAAGTATGTGCAGGAAGGAACTGACCCAGTCTCTGCTTATAGTCCTGCCCTTCAATCCCAATAACATCTGTACTGGATTTTCTTCCTTTTTATATAATAAGGTCTGTTGATGTTTTCTTAATATTTAATATAGTGTGACAGGTTACTCTGAAAGTACAAGCTAAATATATTTTAAGAGTAAGCAAGCCTGGGAAATATGTAATGTAACTATTCAGTTTTTGCTAATGATACTTTATCTGGAGATTACAAACTGTTCACTTAAAAATCAAGGTAACATATTAATTCAGTGAAAATTCTACTCTCTTTTGAATTTCTTAGAATGTTACATAATTTTTCATTTAAGGAAAAGAGATAATTTAACTCTTTTATCATTAGTTTATACAAAGGCCAGTGCCAGATGAGATGTTAAAACACATGAACAGACCCAAATTAATAAATAATCTTACTTATATGAAGAAGAAATATAATTTTATTTAATTTTTATAACCAGACTTATTGTAAACTAAATATAGTTGATTGTAAGTCCTTACTTTGGAACTGCGATCACCGTCTAGCTATGTGAGAGAAAACCAAAGGATCATGTTTTGATTGTGAGATAATGGAATTGTATTTGTAGCACAGGACAACATCTACCTCATAACCAGAACTCTCTGAATTAGGTCATGCACACTTCATCAAACAGCAGACTAAATTTTCTACCTAAAGTGATTTACTACTTATATAATTTTAAGTGTTTTGTTTTATCAAGGTAAAAAGGACTGTTTCTAATCAACCTCTATAGTATCTACAACTTTCTGGTTCATGGAAATTTTTAGTTATCAGGCCAAAACTGAATTCCGTGCTTAGTAGAGATTTGGGATTTAGCATTTGTGAAATCTCACCTTGAGATGCCTACATATGACCTTATGAGCTTACCCTCCAGTTCTTACTGAGTATGTTGAACACTGTGTTAAAGTAGAACAAGCCAAGTCCTTAGCTACTGTACGTCAGGGTGGATCTAATGATTTGCTGGAGCTGTGCTGATTTACAGCAGCTGATGATCTAGTCTGTTGCATTCAACATACTGGCCGGGCTATAGGAAAGTATAACTAATGTTTGTCATAGGATAGTCATACACTAATGCTGTAGGAGAACTGGATTACTTTAAATCTGTGGGTTTGGGTCTAATCTGAGGCATGCAAAAATATTTTCATATTCTTCCTGACAAATATGCTCCAACACCAAAGATTCGTCATTACCCAATTCTACTGCTTAGCTTTAGTATTGCCTGTTGCAAATAAAATTGAAATAAATATGAAATGTAAATCAAACATGTTAAAAGCATCATATATGGTATTTTAATCAGTTTTTCTCTGGCGGGCACTTTTATGTATGAGACAAGCACATTTGTCCAGTTTTCTACCTATCAAGTGATTTTACGGTTTTACCAAGGAAAATTCAATGATTGAGTGTGGTGTTTGTCAAAAAATTCACTTGAACTTTTCTGGGGTTATTTGATTAGCTGTAGTTTTGCACAGTGCCTTCAGCTAGCAGTTAATGTTTATTTTACATGGATTTCTACTTGCATGCCCATGGATTCCTACTTGAATGCCCAAACTTAATGTTTAAAATCCTTCTTCTCTCCCTCAGTGTTTGATTGTTGGAGGTGGCCCATGTGGTTTGAGGACTGCCATAGAACTTGCCTTCCTGGGAGCCAAAGTTGTAGTTGTGGAGAAGAGGGACACTTTTTCAAGAAACAATGTTCTGCATCTGTGGCCTTATACAATCCATGACCTCCGGGGTCTAGGAGCAAAAAAATTTTATGGAAAATTTTGTGCAGGCTCTATTGATCATATCAGTAAGTATGAATGATTACATAAAATACACAGTTCTATTAGGCACTTTCTCTCAAGAAGGCATGCTTTGGGAAGATCATCAGATTTCCTAGACTCACGAGTTGAAAATTCACCTGTCCTGAATGTACATAAAACAAAAATAAAACACATTCAAGCACTTCTGGTTTGGCAAAATGCCAATATCTGTCTTGAACATTAATGAAAACTTTGAGTTGACTTTTCATTCCTGTTCAAGATCAATATAGGAGGATTTTATTGCCTTTTTGAGTGTCTTCTAAAAATCATAGAATTTTATACAGTTGTGTGATTGCTTTTGTTGCTTAGTCTACCAAGTTCAATGCATGCAGGTATCTTATGTGACAGGAAAAGGTTATGGGTCATATCCTATTCCACCTGTTAAGCACCTAAATGTGATCCTATTCTGCCCTGCTCAAGTCTCTGAAAAACAATTAACACTCTTACTTTTGCCATATGCCATTATCTTAGTCTTAAGACTAACTCACAAAAAGTGGCACATAGGAGAAGGACCCCACCCAATTTTCCCCACAAAGACTTGAGCAAGGTGAAATAGGATCACATTTTAGATGCCTAAGTCCACTTAAGTGCCTAATAGGTGGAATAGGATCTGGCCCATGCATTCCAAAAAAGACAAGCAAACAAGGAAGGATCAAGGAGACAAAGCATAGTAAATCAAAAATATTATGGAAACCCAATATACTTCCAAACTCTTTTATTGTAGTAGGGTTGTAGGTACCACCAGTAGCTACAGAGGCTCAAATTACACTCAGTTCCATGCAGAGAGTAATAGGAAGCTGCTTGAATCAAATGCAGAAGGGACATGATCCAGACATGAAAGGGCAGTGGGCTTATGGGAAGGACTGGGCAAAGAGAATGGAACTAGGTTGAGAAGCCTGAGTAATGAATAGAATGCTGGGACTAGCTAGGTAAGAAGAGTGGGACGGGGATAGCGCCGTAGGAGGTGGGAGAAACAAGAATGGGAGAAGATGAAAGATGGTATGGGGCCAAAAGAGGTCAGGTTTTGAGAGAGTAGGTAGGACAGTCCATGCCCCCTTGCTCACACTTTCTCCTTAGGGTTTGAGGTTAAACCAAAGCATCATGTGTGTCTCTCTTCCTCTGCTGTCAGCCAATACCAGTGACATGCAATTGCAATATGTCTCATCCTTATCTAGTCCCAGTCAACATAAAGGATTATAAACTATTAGTGTTATCATTTGCTCTGTCTGTGGCAGAGGCATATTTAGGAGATTTGAAGATTTCAATCTGGCTGATATGTGCACATCTGTGTGATGCCAAATGATGGAACTTCTGCTTTTTCGGTTACCATATTTACTTGCATACCACACGCATCTCCCTCTCCCACTCCAAATTAGCCATCCAATATTGGGCGCATGTTTTAAGGTAGAAAATTGATTTTCATGCTTGAATGGAGACATAGGGATGCTGGAATGGCTTCTGGGGGCTCTGCCTCTCTTCCCAGTTGCATGCAGGAGTCCTTCTCAGCGTAGCTTCCCTTGTCCTTCCTAACAGTGTAACTGTCAGAGTCCTGCATGTGGCCAATGTTCAGCCATGGTGAGACCCTACTGGGATAGGCAAGATACTAGAAAAATCTTGTTCTCTTTATTCTGCCTTCCCAAAACAATGCATCTTCTATGAGGGCAGGTAGTACACAAGAAAATGTCAGTTTTCTGCACACAATTTTTTTTTAGGTTTTTAAAAAAAAGCTATTTTAAAAGAAAGTTATTACACTTAGGAATTCAAGCAGACAAGAATGAGGAAATCTCAGGAATAACTTCAACTTTGTTCAAGTCCTTCTGTATATGTATTATATCATCTTTGATTATATGATCACATACTACATGTTCTACTACACCTCTGATCTGCTACTCAGTATTTTGTTCAACGCACAACAGACTATCTGATTTACTGCATACTATTCAAACCTTACTGTGAGAACAGAACTGTTAATTGCTTCATGTACCTCTGGTATGAATGGATTACATTTATTTATTTTCACAATGCTCGCTTAAGATGCACGGATACTATTTCCATTGAGGGGAGGGGAACTGAATACAGAGAGCAAGACCAGAAATATCTGTTAATTATATGTGACCAGTTTGGGCTGCCTAGGACCTTTTTATATGTTAAACCATGGATCTCATAGTTGTTAGTTACAATAAGATTGATCAGCAGATTGTATTCTAGGGTCTCCCTTCATGTACGAAAAAACCCTAGAAAAACATTATTAACCACTTATGAAAATTGTGGCTTGTTGTGCATTTAACAACTCTGTACAGAGGAGGAAATACCTATTTTCCCAGGAAATGCCCCAACCTGGAGGCCATCTATTCTCTTGCATTCACTACACACCTTCCAACAAATCAGCAGAGAATAAATAACAGATGACTTACTGTGTAAGCCTAATTAATCTCCAGAATGGGTATGACCTGTCTGAATAAGGCATGGTGCTCTGTGGAAAAGGTACTATAAAATGTGAAAGTATAGTGCATATGTGCAAAGAGACTGATTTAAGAGTGTGCAAGCAACCTTTTGTTTTGGCATATTCTTTTTTGAGTGGTTGGGTTTTCAAACTGAAAGTCTGTTAATGTAGATTTTGAGTATAATATATTGAGGTAGGGAGGCCTTACTTTGTTCCAGTCACTGAGACTGAAGAAGGTTAACCAAATCTTCCAGATGCGAAAAAACTCTGAAAACATGTTGTGTTATGGCTTGGTTCATGGCACAACATGCATTTCTGATCTGTAATGGAGGCCTGTAAGGGCTACTTAAGTTCAGTTTAATAATAATGAAAAAAATGCTGTTACATCTTCCAGAGTGATGTCTGTCTATTATTATTTGCAGGTATTTGGCAGCTTCAGCTTATCCTGTTCAAAGTAGCACTTATGCTGGGGGTTGAAATCCATGTAAATTTAGAGTTTGTGAAAGTTCTGGAACCTCCTGAAGATCAAGAAAACCAAAGTATGAGAGTCTTTTTATAATTTGAAATAAGTTATTTTAGAAGCAAATACACGTATCTCGCTGAAGAACTTGTATTGTATGAAATAACTGTGTTATCAGGGGAATTGTGTGAAATAATTTCTTAGGCCATCCAAGGGACTTTTTTTTGTCCTGCATATGAAAGCCAGATACAGTATATCAGAATAATAAGCGTGATAAAAGTCACTATGTCAATACACTGGTATTTAAAAAAAAAACACAAAACATTCCGGCCAGAAAAGTAATATTTCCTCTTGTGCCTGCTGGTCTATGTTCTGAGGTTTTGTAGAGAGTCAGATATATTTATTTTATAAAAACAAATATTATATTGTTTGCATTATTGTAAGTGAAGTGTCTTTCTTGAGAAATGCAGTTTTTTGGCTAGATTGGATTTTGCTCTTCTTTGTGGTAGCTTAATGTGAATGTGCTCAGTTTAATTTAATTTAAAAGGATAAAAAGTTACCAGGGCCAATCGTGCAAATACTTATATTTGATATGTCCTGCTGGGTTTATAGTGCAGCTACTCGTGTCAGGTACAAAAGGATTTTTGCTAAGTGTTTGTAGGGCTGGTCCCAGAGCCACTTCAGTGCTTTAATTCACCCAAATATAGGGGGTTCCTTTTTTGCAACTGAGAACTGCACACAGCTTTGACTTCAGCCAAAGTTGCATCTACCCATGTAAGGGCAGAATTTCTCCCAGCTTGAGAGCAAAATAGACTATTTAGTGTAATTGCCTTCTTTCACAATCTAAAAATGCTGCTTCTGCCATTCAGTGGCTGAATAAATGTTGTCGCCTTTTTGTTTCTTTTAGAGATAGGTTGGCGCGCTGAATTTCTTCCAGTGGATCATCCTCTGTCAGAATTTGAATTTGATGTTATTATTGGGGCAGATGGCCGCAGGAACACATTAGAAGGTAGGTGAAAATATATTGTTGGGACTGTGGTGGGGGTGATGTAACCATGATGGACCAAAAATGAGGGGCAAGGATTTTTGTGGGTAATATCCTTTATTGGACCATCTAAATAATTGGGAAGGACTCTGCTAAGCTTTCAGGTATGGCTTTACCCCGAGGAAGGTAGGGTGGTACTCAAAAGTTTGTCTATGTCCCCACCCAACTATGTGGTTTGTCCCATAAGATAATCGCCCACAAAAATTCTTGTATCCCGCATTCTTAAGATTAACAATTGCCTTAAAGTACAATTGGGAACCTAAGAGGTAAGAAAAGGTGGAACCAACAGATTAACCCTCAGTTCAATAAAAATCTGTGTCTGTGATGATGGAAATTGATTTTATGGGATGTTCCCTGCCTTTATTATAGTATTTCCAGATGTGGTCCATTAAATACAATGCTTAACTTCATTCCTGATTCTGCAGGCTGCCTGTATCATGCATTTTAGCTGTCTTGATGAGCTACTGTTGTAGCATATGTTAAATAACATGCTAGTTTAATTTGAGGGCAAATGACAAAAGCATGTCAGGAACTGCACATTTTTCATGTAATTGTGTCATAAATCAACTCTCTGTACTTGAAATAATGACCGTACAGTAGCTGCCAGGTATTTAATAAACACATCAGAGCAGTTGCTCTCAGATGGTGGTGATGTCATTTCAGTAGTAGTCATTTTGGTAACAGAACCAAAAAAGCAATAAAGAGCTGGAAGGGGAGGTAGATCTTGTTGCATCTACTACAGTCATCAAGCAGAATTCCACTCCACTGAGTTGCCTTTAAGTGAGACATTAGCTAACCAGCTCTTACATTACATGAACAAACCTGTTGTTTAATTATATATTTTCCTTATAGTGATAATTATGCTCACATCAGTTTCAGTGCACGAAGCCCCTGATTTCTATTTTTATTGGTCTCACGTTTTGTACTGCTTTTTTTTCCATTTTTGTAAAAATCAGTATATTTATGGGTATTTTCCTGTAACGCTCTATAAGAAAATTAGCCACTTATTTATCCCAATATAAAGTCTATTGAAGTTAAAATAAAATCTCCAGAAGTATACATTGTTGCAGATTACAGACACTAGCAACAAGCTTGACAAATGGCTTTAGGAAAATCTTTAGCTACTTGAGGGGAATATCTTGTTAGACTAAGGGCATTAGTATAAAACCAAATAATGCTTGCACATTATACCTGTTGAAAAGAAAGGGTAAGATGGAAACTACAAGTAAACTTGTACCCATAGAAAGTGCCAAGAAACAAAGAAATTTACCATAGGGTAGCGTTTTCTGACTGCAAGATACTCTACCTCAACTAAAAGTCATAAATTCTGCAGATTTTTGACTTAAAGCATTTTGCAAGGCCCATGTCCTTCAAACATGCATATGCTCAAGTTGACCTATAAGAATATTCCTATCAATATCAATGGGGATACTTAGGTATCCCAGCATATATGTTAGCTGGATCTGAGTCTAAGGTTGCATAATTTAGCATGGCTGTACACCTGGCAGCCCACCAGTTGCAGGTGCCCCGCAAGGGGTTAACCCCCCCCCCCTTTGCTCTTCCACTGCTGTTGCTATAGTCCCTGGGCTCCCCACTCCCTCCTCCAGCTTCCACCACTTACCCCATCAATGTGGCTTGCAGGTCTGAGGCGGCCTGTGGTTGAGTACTTTGGGGAACTGGAGACCCTGAGTGGCATTTGTGTCACTGCAATGCAGAGGGAGTCTCTTGCTATGTGGCAGGGATTGGTATCCTAGCAGAACTACACTGTATATCACATCCACACATGCAGGTGGCCTGCGAGGAGCTGTAGGTCCGTGCATCAGGCCACGGGGTGCATTGGGGGTTCATGTAGGATGTCAGGGCCTGTGTAAGGCAGTGGTGCTGGGAGGAAGGGATTTTGCACTGCATTGGAGAACCACATGGTGCAAAGTTGGGGAGGGGCGATTGTGCAGCAAATTGAGGGTCATGTGGTATGCTGGTGGGGAGGGGGACTCGCATGGTGTGGCATGTGACTCACACAACAGGCAACCCAGGGGTGTGTGGCCTGCATGCCTGTGGTCCCCAGCCACTTGGAAGTTGGACAGCCCTGATTTAGACTATTGAGTAAATCAGTTGCATATTGTTGAGTATAAATGACTGAAACGTTGGGCATTTTACATATGCTCCAGGGGTGGGGGAGGACAGAACTGCTCTAATTAAAGTGCCTGGAGCTTCTTGTGTATCAGCGCCCCCACACTAAAATGGCGTCAGGGAAACTTTAACTAGAGCTCATTTAACAAGCTTTAGATAAAAATGCCCCCACCATCATTTTGAAGAATGGGGACACTAATACACATGAGATGCAGAGCCTGGCTGGAGCGCAGTAATTACTATGCTCCAGCATGTCTCGGCCGGCCGGAGCTGACTCGAGGTGATATACAAATTGCTCGGTCGTTTGGGCGGGCTGGTGAATGGAGAGGCAGACAAAGCGTATTGGTTGCAAAAACTTTACTTACGCTGCTAGTAGCTGCGACGCAGGTGGTCCGGTCGCTTAAACAACTCCACGAGTTGCTCCAGCTGGCAAGGCTCAGGCCAGGTAATCCGTCCACAAATTAAGCCGGCAGGGAAAGTGTACGTCGAAGGATTGCACTCGGCGACAGGGAGAAGAATCGATAGGCGATCAGGCTATCGATCAGCTCAGCCGCAAGTCAGATATCTTTAGAGGCACTCTGCAGCGTGCTCAAAGTTCTCCGACTTGGGCGGAAGTCGCACAAAATTTTATATGGCCAGCAAGCCAATTACTAGCCGCCACGTAGGAATAATTTAGAACTGGCCAATAGCGGGACACAAATTTGCATGCGAATGGCGGGAACTCTCTTGCACTGGGGTTTTCTGTTGCAGCAGAAAACTTTTGCTGTGCAAGAGACTCTCATGTGGCAGGAAAATTCCATCGTGCCGAGGCACTGAAATCATTGGGTTGTGACACAGCAGACTTGATTAATCGAGTCTGCTCCAATGCGCTGGAATTACAGTGCATTGGAGCAGCCTCCTGGCTCATGTGCAGGCATCCTCAGTTAGCTTTTACAAATGCTTCTCTCAGTTTTGAGCCAGATTATTTTAAGTCTTTTTCTAATCATCATATTTGCTTTGACTCCTTTCCCTGGAGAAATAACTAACATCCATAAGTGGTAAAGCCTTGCCCATAAAATGCCAACCTGTTAGCAAACTGTACATATCTTCAGTACTATGTAATCCCCTTGATTGGCAGATTTTTTTAAGAATAAGAATATACTGGTTTAATGGGATTTTGCTAATAAGGAGTCTGCTTCCCATGTGTTGGGGATGGAATTTGGTCAGGAAGGAAAGAGAGCTGCCATGTAGGTCTTTATCTTCAGCTCATGTGCTGAAATTTTGCAATGTTTTTAATTATTTTCCTTGGTCTTCAGGTTTTAGAAGAAAGGAGTTCCGTGGAAAACTGGCTATAGCTATCACTGCAAATTTTATAAACAGAAACACCACTGCAGAAGCCAAGGTAGAGGAAATTAGTGGTGTTGCTTTCATCTTCAATCAAAAATTCTTCCAGGATCTTAAAGAGGAGACGGGTGGGTCCTTCCTTCCCCTAGTTACCGCCCCCCCCCCCCCCCCCCCTCCCCCCACGCTACATGCCACTTCCCTGTGTCGCCATGCACTACCAAATGAAATATACAATTGAGAAACATTTTTTGTAGGGCTATTCTTTTGACACCAAAACATCAATTAAAATAATTGAGTAAAATATGGTGATGAAATTCTGCTGATTTCAAAGCCTTGGGGAGGGAGGCATCTATTTTTGATACAGTGGGATATTTTTAACATGAATGTTGCCACAGCATGTCTCTTCTAGTGTTTGCATTCTTCTCAACTGTAAAAATATGTTTGAAACCAATGATAACTTTTTGAGGGAGAACAGTTTCGGTGCCCGGAGATTTCCGTGAAATAGGATACAGTTCGTTTTGAATGTATTGGATTAGATGTTTTCATGAAATATGGCCCTCTTTCTTGCAGGTGTTGTGGTCCAATTAGTATAATTTTCATATATTTGCTTTAAAGGAATTCACTAAAAATATTTAAACGGTCTGTCTTGAATTGAAACATCATCCATGAGACGGACAGACAGACCAAGAATTGAACTGCATTCAAATTGAGTGATGCACCACATGAGTGCACATATCTGGCTTAAGAGGCATTCCCATATTAGTCTTTTTTAAATTAACATTGTTAATTATTTATTTAAAACAATTGTTTTTAATTAGCTATGGACTTGATCATGCTTGGGTTTAAATTTTTGTGAGGTTGCTGGAGCAAGGTAGGGTGGCACCTCAGAACTGATTCAGGGAATCGTAAGCTTTTGTAGGTGACAGCCTACTTCATCAGGTGCTATGAATTCACAGGAGTCTTCTGATATTCACTAATGTTTTCTTTTCAGGAATTGATCTGGAGAATATTGTTTACTATAAAGATAGCACTCACTATTTTGTAATGACTGCAAAAAAACAGAGTCTTCTGGACAAAGGAGTCATTATTAACGTATGTATACATGCCAGACAAAACCTTTTACTGTATTTATTGATTTTTATGAATTTGGTTTAAAAATACATAAGAGAAGCTGAATAAATATTTATTCGTGTTACAGAAGGTGTAAATTGACTAGCCTGATCACTTTGTGATTAAAGTACGACTCACTTAGATGGTGTTCTACATGTGCAAGAGAACTGAAAATGCTATTTGAATTTGTAATTTAAAAAACTGGGTGAAATGTGACCATGAGTGAACCTGAAAGAGTCATCAGCTGTGCCAGCATTGACCTCACTAAAGATAAAAAGCCTCAATAACTAGGGACCAAATTGGGTGAATCTTTGTAAGTTTAATAAAGCCATTGATGTTGTCTGTTCAGTTGTCTAAATTGGGTAATAATAAAGTTGGCCAAAACTTCCAAAGTAACTACTAATTTTTGGATGTCAAAACTGAGACATCTACAAAGCATGCATTTTCAAGAAGGTGAATACTTGACACTTTCTGAAAATCAATCCTCTTCAATGTCTCTTTCATTGGGCAAAAAATGAATTTTCCTGGAAAGATTACAAAACTATTATAGCAAGAGACAGGGTTTTCTTAGGATGAAAATGAGTACTGGCATGAGGACTCTCAAACTTGTTTGGCCTGCAGGTTATTTTAATGTGACATAGTTGCCACATTGAATCAACGCTTATTTTGCCTGTGAGGAAGCAAGTGTAGGTCAGAGCAGGTGCAGGAGGATGGGATGGAACTAGCTTCTAATAAATGGAGAAAAAAGAGGCAGAAATAAGGTGGGACAGGTTTTGGGAGGGGTGGGCAGGAAGACAAAATTACCGGATGAGAGTATTATGAGGCAGATGCAGGAGTATTGTAGAGATGGCTAAGAGTTGGAAGAGCAGGCAGTTTGGCTTGTGGACCTTTTTGAGTCACAGAGCCAGGGCTGGAGGGATAAAGAAGGCTGAGGACAGAGAGCAGCTGAAAGGTTGGCTTGCTGACTTCCCCCTATTGAGAACTAGTGCTAGAAAGTCAGAAGACTAGCAACAGAATAGTAACATAGGGTTTTGACTACTGACTTCTGCTAAATCTGGCTGGAGGGTTGGAGAGATTTAAAAGCCAGTGTGTTAGTCAAGGAGCTTGTCTGTGGGCTGGGAATGGTTGATCACCAAGGAGACCCACTGACTAGCCCAGGGCTGAGAAGAAACAACCCCTGGATGGAGAACCTGATGAATCCCTGCTGGAAAGAGCAGAGAGGCCAGCGGGGCTGAAAGAGAGGGCTGTTTGACAAAGAATCTTGGGGAAAAGTTTTAGGAGTGGCTGAAGATGTTAGCACTGGGACGTCTTTTTTGATGTGCTATGTCTACAACTTTTAAGGGGTAGGACCTAGTGGGATGAATCACTTCTCACTTTATGGGAGGGATTTTTAAGGATTATTTCTACTGTTGGAGAAAACAAACCACCACAAGTAAGGATGACTTTAATCCTATAAAATGATTGGTGGAGTCTTCAAGGGGCTGATGGCGAAAAATGGAAATGGCTCCCCACCATACAGGCAATTTGGGGAGGGGCATGCCCCCCCTTTTTTGAAGACTAGTTTTCTGATGAGCTCTTGAAAGCAACTTCACCGTGGTGGAGGGTAGAAGCTGTCCACATGACTCCCACACTGAGCAGCATTCCCTTCATGGCTGTCACCCACTCTCAAACCAATATGTCTTTTATTCCTGTTTTGGAGAAGTGTTCAGACCAGAATAAGATGAAACAAAATGACATCAAGGGCTGTGACATGGACTGCTCCTTGGATGTCAACGTAACATTTGGATTTTTTTCTCTATATATATTTTGGCTTCAATCTAAAATGCTACCATGACCATCAGGATGAATCTAACTTTTTAGCACCTTGCCCTTACTACTTTTATAAACAGAAACCATAGTTGGGGATGGACTTGTTTGGTTGCCTGTATGTAAAGCATTTCATAGACTAACAAGGTAAACACCTTCCTTAGCCAGAAGGCTGGAGCTGAGATACTAGACTGGCTGATTGAACTGTGTGCCACATGCTGTGCCTGTGACTTTCTGGGGACAGAGGTTGCATTTTTCAAACTTTGGCTGATCTTTTCTTTCTTCCCCAGAGACAGGATCAGACTTAAGTTAATAGAACCTGATAGTTACAAATCTTTTCCAAAGAAGAACACTTGATACCAACTTAGAAACCACCAACTAAAGATTGCCCCTACCCTGAAAACAGAGAGACAAAGAAAAGAGTTCAAAATTGGAGACTGACTTGGTCTCTTGGATTTCATATTTTTGTGTTTTTCAATATTTTTGTGCATGTCAATATATTTTAGCATAGAATAAGCAAAACAAAACCACTGTTAAAGCTATGAGTACAAATCTATTGTAAGTTTTTAAAAAGTGCCACCCGTCCACTTATACAACATTAACCCCTACCATTTTCAATCTTAATTCTGCTCCCAGGACTCTGACACAGGGTGCACACACTCAAACCAGTCCAATTTTGGAGCTTGGGCCATGTGTCCTTAAGGTCAGGGGTTACTAGTAGATCCACAAGATTTCTCTGAACCATTCATGTTGCATGTTAAACAGGCAATTCAACGTGAGGCAAGTGAGCTAATAATGGTTTTGATTCATCATGAGTTTCATGCATGATTAAGTTTATATAGAAACCTATTTAATCACTGACCTGATGTAAGGTGACCCATAAAGTAGGGTCCCTGAGAAGCTTGAGTGGTTTGCTTTAAAAAAAAAAAAATGTCTACCTTGTCCAGTCTCTACATGCATCTCGTAAAATGTTCATTTTGATACATTATAAGTTTGACGTTCCTTAGTATCTAGTCAGAATTCTGACTGACACCAAACAACAGGGCAACCCACATATATAGTCTCAGTACTGATGGGAACGTGAAGGGAAGATCAATTGCATACTGATAAGTAGTGATGATGACTATGGGGAGGCTGTAAATTTATCGAAATAGTGGGTAAGTGATGGGATAGGTGAGGTAGCACTATCTTCCTTTGCTTGCTTAGCTTGCAGCTTAGAGCGTTACTACTTCTGGGTTGTGCTGAGACGTTTAAAATTACAGTGTGCACACCTACATGTTCATTAATGCACTTTTGCTACTGTGCATTACATTTAGTACTTCTAATGTGAGGTACTAAATAAATGCATATTTTGCTGCCCTAATGCACAGTGGCAAACGTGCATGCTTTTTTAGTGACAATGCACAATTGCCTAATTTTACTGTGCATTAGTGTATTAGTACGGTTTTTGATGGGACACTAATGCAGAGTAAAATAGGCTACTAATGCACATGTGTAGGCATTAAAGCACATGTGCCCAGAGTGCCTGTGTTTGTTTGCTCATTAATAAATGTTCTAAGTATTTAAATAAATCTCCTCCAACCCTTTTGTGATGCAATGTTACCATCCTACTATCCACAGCAATATTTGGTCCTGGGAACAGACTTGTTTAAAATCTCTCCTAGTGCATGCATTTTCTCTTTTCAGGACTATATTGATACTGAAATGCTCCTATGTGGGGAAAACGTAAACCAAGAAAATCTGCTGTCTTATGCCAGAGAAGCTGCTGACTTTGCTACCAATTACCAGCTGCCTTCGCTGGATTTTGCAATTAATCACTATGGGCAATCAGATGTAGCCATGTTTGATTTTACTTCCATGTATGCCTCTGAAAATGCAGCTTTAGTACGGGAGAGGCAGAGACATCAGCTCTTGGTTGCCCTGGTTGGAGATAGTTTACTGGAGGTAATGTTTTATGCCAAAATAGAATTTTGTTGTTTAGGGCATTTTTTAAAGTTTATTTTAAATGCCTTTGGGGAACATATTTATTTCACAAAATGTTTTATTTGACAGAATAAAAATCAAGAATCTAAAATGTGAATATTGTCTGGTCACCAGCATATCTTTAGATCTTTGCACGGGAAGAGCAGAATTACAAGAGGTCTGAAACATGTTTAAATGACTGTTTAGCAACCTGCAACAGAGAATAGCTTTCCTATTTTGTTGTTTGTTCAGTTTCTGTATCTAACTGTTTTATTTAAGAGACACTCTCAAATTGAATATATTTAAATAATCTATTTTGTTCTTCTATATAAATTTCCAGTTCCACACTATGCCTTGTTTAGTAGAATGATTGGATTAAAACACATTTTTCCTTCCCATTTTATAAGGTTTTTTCCTGTAAGGAAGAAACTGGCTTGAGTATAATGAATAAATGATTAAATGGATTCTACGTAGAATGCTTCCAAATGTACAAAGTAATCAATTAATTACTAGAAGTAACCATAGTCCCCAGAAACCATTTTCCCCTAAACTTAACCTGCCATTCTAAACCATAGCAGAATAGCTTAACAAAAAAAAATATTCCAGAGAGTAAAGACAATCTTGTAAAGTCCTTTATTCTATTTTAAGTGGGAGTCTGATCATACAGACTGGGGTTTGGCAACCAATGGCCCATGGCTCGAATCTGGACCTCAAAGCTCCAATTAGGCATGGGGGATTGGTGGCAGGGAGCTGTGCTGTTGCAGGCCACTTCCTCCTTATTGCTCCCCTCTGCTGTGGAGGGGACGGGAATCTGCTGTGAAGATGTGTAGGCAGCTAGCTGTTCTGGAGGAGTATGGAGACTTCCAGCCTGCAACCACAGCCAAGTTGCAAGCTTTGGTCTGCACCAGAAAAAGACTGCCGACCTCTGGTGTGGATCACTGCTGATATGTGTAACTTTACTTAGATGAGTAAAGTTGCTGACTTGTGCAGATGTTTAGACTGCTCATTCCTATTCATATTTATCCACTCCTGCCTTAAGGTATTCTTCCTTTTGTGGTCATTCGTCAGGATGTCTTGCAAAATAGAGGAAATGTTGGTTATTCAGCCGACGTTGTTGAACCATGTCATATACATGCATTGCCAGTGAGGATGCTCTAAACAAAGCAGCAGACACTTTTATCTTTGTCTTACATTAAATGTCCTGAAACACTGGTTTGTTTGTTTTTTTTCTTTCATTTTCATGCTGTGGTTTCAGTAGCTAATACATGCCTAATAACTTCGACACAGATTCCATTTGATATCGTATATGCTATATTTCATAGCTCAAAGCAGCAAGTTCAGTCCTCAGGTGGCATAGCTGGTGCAGCCCCCTTGAGAATATGGCCCAGTGATTTTACTCAAGCCTGTCAGAGTGTACTGCATTGTATTACAACCTGAGAAGTGTACGGTGTAGTAAATGCACAGTGTGTTCCATATGGCCAGATGTTTGAAACTGATACAGCAGATCTTCAAAAAAAATCAACTGTTTGGCTTAAAATGATGAGGTTTTAAGTAATATGACCCAGTATTTTTTTTTTGCCTCCTGACTCTTGAGTACATCCTCATTTTCCAGCCTTTATTTTACATTGGGTAAAGTTGAGAGGCTTTGCAGAGGTTCATGCCTTAGGTAGCTGACTTGGGATGCACCCTTGCAAATGGGGAAACCTGGGCAGGTGCTCCTTGGGCTTTAGGGTCCCAATCCTGCATGCTACAGGAATGGGAATTCTTGGAGAGCTCAGGATTGGACCCTGGGGGTACCTGACTCAGGTAGCTAGATAGTGCAGGCAGCTCCAGACTGCCCAGGGTCTCCTACCTTGAATGCAAACAGTCACCTGATGCAAAATAGTGGCACAAATTTATACCAGTTATGTCTTGGCCTTAAACTCTGGGCATTTGTGACATGACAAGGGGCATGGACATCTGTTTGCTTGGCCTTTTGTGTCATCATAATAAGATTTATGGCGGCATAAAAGCAACATCTGTCTCCAGCCATAAGGGCTAAAAGCTTCTTTAAAAAACGATATATATTTAAAATACTTATAAGTAAATAAATTAGCTAAGTTTTTCACATTCCCAAAGCTTAGACTTTAAGAAAAATGCCCAACATCATGAGAGTTGGTAACACTGGGCACTAGAACTTTCTCTGGCTTATTTTGAGACTCTACAAAAACCTAGACTGTAAGTTCACCTGGCAAATGCTTCTGTAATAAGTCTGTTTAAGAAAGATGAGGGATTAAAATGGCTAAACTGTAAATACTTCTTACAGCCCTTCTGGCCAATGGGTACTGGCTGCGCAAGAGGCTTCCTAGCTGCTTTTGATACAGCATGGATGGTGAAGAGCTGGTCTCAGGGGAAACCTCCACTAGAGATCCTTGCTGAACGGTAGGCACTTCCTTTGTTTTAGTCTCTTTTTTCTAAAGAAAATTTTAATGGACTTTAGTGATGATGAAAGATTTTGAAAAGGATAATACCAGAAACAAAAATATTCTGCTTGGCTGAAGCGGCAGTGGATTGAGACAGCTAGTTATGTTTCTGCTGCACAACTTACAAAGTCAGAGGCATAGCACTCTGCAAGCCATTCAGTAGCTTTAATTAACTATTTTTACACCCTGGGCAGAGGTGCCAGAAAGCAAGGAGGGATGTAGGGAGGCAGACAGAGGGCTAAACTAGCATTCTACTATTGCAACATGCCCTCTAAATCAGTACCTGGGGATAAGGTCCCACATGTGGGCACTTGTCCCTCCCTCTCGCTCCCACCTACCTCCCCTGCCCCCTATACAGTCATGTTACTATACAGTATAGTCCAGGTCCTCACTCTTACAGAGTAGGTTTTCATAATTGAAGCCTGAGTCACTGACCCAAACCAGACTAAAATGCTGAGAAAGAGCTGAAACGCATTGCATCCAGTTCACAACACTACAACCCATCTGCTCCCCTAAGCAATCATTTTAACCAACGTGATTTGATATAATTTTAGCCCAAAACAAGTGCAGACCCTATATTACAGTAATTATTTTCATAACCAACATCCAATTTTAGCTGCGTCTTTTTAGTTCATGCTCTGGGCATGACATAACCCTTATTTACTTTCGCTAAATAAGCACAAATACATATAGTTTTTGATCATATGTTGTGTCGCATAATCTGCTATTGTCTCTACTAAAAATTGTCATTAAGATGCCAGCAAATTTTTGTTTGGCAGTGGCCCTGTGAGTAGAATATGCTGACATTAATGGTTCCAGTAGCAGAGATTTTATTTTCTTACATCTAGCTGGGCTGCTTTAGGGACTGATATGTAATAACTGTTGAGAAACAGCTTTTTTGTGGTAAGCATTCAGTCAGGCTTCTACATACAGCACTGTCTGAGGCAGTGGCTCACAAATGATGCACATGCAACGTCATTCCAAATGGAAAACTGAACAGAATAGGACCTGGTGGTTGTGGGAATTGAAGGATGACTGGATACAGGACGTTTTGTGACTAAAAGAGAGGTTACTACTTGGGTGGAGATTAAAGCAAAACCAGATGACTTTGCATGATGTAACCTCCTTGTTTTCTTGCTTTCGTCCTGCCTCGGGAAGACCTGAGCTTCTATCCATGTTTAATCATCTCAATTTTTTACCGTGCTGGGACAGCATAAGCAGTGGTACAGATGCAACTCCAGTACATAATATTACATTCTGACAGTTTCTGAATAGAGGCAAGGGTTGTTGTCAAGTTAAAGTTGGAAAAAAATGTTTATATGCTAATGCCTTCAACTAACACATCCTCATTATTGTTTATAAGAGAGAGCATTTATCGACTCTTACCCCAGACTACACCTGAAAATATCAACAAGAATTTTGACCAGTATACCATTGATCCAGGGACACGGTATCCGAACTTGAACTCGAGCTGTGTTCGATCCCATCAGGTCAGTACTTTAAAGGCTCCCCCAATGATATCAGCGTTCATTTCTGTCCCAAGAGAATTGTGGCTACTGATAAAATGCTGAATAAACAAAACCTCCATAAGACTTTCTGGATTAGATCAGGTTATGTGATAAAGCTCACAAGAAAAGTGTAGATGATATTAAAATTGCTTGCAGATGTTTATGTTGAAACGAGTCTTAAATTGTTTTTGCTCTTAGGTGAGGCATCTGTATGTTACAAATGAACTACAACAATGCCCTCTTGAAAGGGTAAGCTCTATTAGAAGATCAGTGAATCTTTCAAGGCATGGTATGTGAAATTTTACTCCCCACATGATTCTACTACACTTCATGTTCAGAACTTTTATAGCTTATAAAAAGTGACTAAAATAGTCTTCCTATATTATAACCACAGAATCAGATATTCGACCGAACAAGCTTTTAACCTGGTGTCAGAAACAGACAGAAGGCTACAGGAATGTTGATGTTACTGACCTCACTACCTCTTGGAGGAGTGGCCTTGCATTATGTGCAATTATGCATCGCTTCAGACCTGACCTCATGTAAGTTATACGTGTAGAGTTCGCTAATTGTAGGATATTGAGTTGTTTATAAAAGTATAGACTTGTATAGGGTCAACCGAAACAATGCTGATGGTCTAGAGTCCTCTTTTATCATTTGTTTTTGCAACTGGTCACACAGTATTGCCAAGTTTATATTTTCCAGATGTCCTTGGCCTGGCACGTAAATTGTAAGGCGTATACTTTCAAAGAACTGTATGGGCTTTTAGACATGTGCTTCTTGTTGACTTCAGTGGGAATCACATGACTGTTTTAAAAATGTCATTGCTTTGAAAATGTGGTAGTTTGTATTGTCTTGTGCCCGGAGGCATATTCTCAGAGAATTCTCATAGAAAAAGAACAGAAAAGCTATGAACTAGCCAGTTGAGGTACTGCTTGCAATCTAGCCATGGTTAGGTTGTCTTTTGTCTAGAGCAGTGTCATACATACCGAACAGAGTAACAGATGCTGAGGTCATCCTGCAAGAGTGGGATGGATCCAGAAGGGGTGCAGCTGTGTAGTAGCAGTGGCTGTGCCTGAGGTCTGTCTGGAGACCCTGCTTTTATGCGACTCCAGAACCCAACGAGTAAGTGCTGCTGCTGCTACTCATTCTTTCCTTTCCGCTGCTGCTGAATTCCATGGGAGGGGCAGGGTGAACAGCAGCAGCATTTACCCCCTGGTCTGTGAAGCTGCATGAAAGCAGGGGCTTGGGGCAGACCCCACCCCAGGCATCTTGTGAGCTCAGAGCTCATTGCTCATATGGAACTCCAGCAGGAGGCTTCACTGACTGGGCAGTGAGCTCAGAGCTCACTGAACATATTGCAGCACAGTCAGAGTGAGAGGTGAGTAGAGTACACTGGTTGCCCTGTTCTTGGATCCACTACTTTTGCGAGTGCACTGCTTGAGATTAGAAATTTCCTTTATTTCTTTTGATGTTAATTATGGGGCTCCTATTCCCATTGCATTGCACTAGATCTAAATTCTTACATGTGAAAGTGTAAGAATGCCTCTTACTCCAGTTCCTTACTGAGAATTCAAATTCTCTGAGCTGAGCTACCAGTAATCTTTGTTGTTGGTAGAAATGCTGCCTTATGTTCTCGCAAACTCTCTGGCTTTAGGAGGTGCATATCCCCTTTCTTCCTCCACCCTCTTGGCCAGATTACCTACCCCGAAGACTTGGAATTCACAATGGGACTATTACAGACATTTTAAAGGAAAACCCTGAATAGAACAAAATGATGCACGTACAGAACCAAATGCTCTGAATAAATATTGTTGAGCTGGAAGATTTTAATGGCTATCATCAATCACAAGCTGATGTGCGTGCCTGCCACCTTTCATTCTAGCTTAAATGGAATCAGCAGTTTGGCTTCTTACTAGGTTGTGGTAGGTGGAAACAAAAGAATCTATCATCCATAGTACTGAAGTACTGGGCCTGAGGAAGAACTAACTCTAGAAGAATAAAAGATTTCTGTTACTGGTTTTAAAAATGGGGTCTCTCAGATGCTTTGGCAAGCCATGTGTATAACAGAGAAAGGGAGCAGGAAGCACAAAAAAGCAGTCATAAGTATGGCCCTGAGAGGGTGCAAAGAGATATTCTTTTGGGCACAGCACTCGCTTACAAGGCAGGCTGAGAAAAGGAATTGTATGCTATTGTTTTTCCCTGCATTCAGGGAAATTGAACTGTGTAAATGAACAGGGTTGCACCTAGAGAAAAAAACTGATTGGGACATCAGCATTTGCTACCTATCAAGTTTTGAAATTTTAACTACTTTGGCCTTGGGCAGGGGTAGCTCTTGGAGCGAAAACTTTCACATTTACCTTGTGGAGGAAGACATTTCTTTACCAGAAGCTATATTTAAAAAAAAAAAAAAAAAAAAAAAAAAAAAAAAAGGTCCAGTGGACCAGTAAGGTAGTCACAAATGTGTGATTAAAATCTAATTATCACATACCTCTCAGACAAGAACTTCACATTCAGCAGGTGTGTGTATGTGTGTGTATATATTATAGTGTGTGTATGTGTATAGGGCTCCAATCTATATATGAATATAGTTATATATAACTACTACACGTGTGTATGGTATGCCGCCTTATAAAGAAATGTGAGTTTCCACAGACTATTCATTATTTTATCTGGTCAAGAGCTCAGTGATTTTCTTTTTTTTTCTTTTTTTTTTTTTTTTTTTTTTTTTAATACTAACTGAAATAAGCTGCGTAAAGATGATGAAATGTGTATTCTGGAGAGGAGTGTTTTATATCGTATTCATAATTGATAGAATATCCTGATCTTTCTCTTGGACCAGGTCAGAACATTTTTTTTTTGAAAAGTTCTGTTCAGTTGAACACAACTTGAAATCTACCATTGAGAACATTATAGGAAAAAGCACTTTTGGTGATATTCCTGAGCTATACACTTGGATAGACTTCATAGAGACAACCTTGCAAAAGATACATACAGTCTTTAATCCATGTAGCACTTTAGTCATGATATTTCCCAAAGAAGCAAACAGAGCTTCATTGTTTTTGAAAGTGGCAAAAGTCAGGCCTCTACTGATATTAATGCTTTACTCTCTCAGTGACTTTGATTCTTTGAATGAAGAAGATGCTGTCAAAAACAACCAGCTGGCATTTGACATTGCGGAGCGAGAGTTTGGAATTCCTCCCGTCACCACTGGGAAAGAGATGGCGTCTGCTGGAGAGCCTGATAAGCTCAGCATGGTTATGTACCTCTCAAAATTCTATGAGCTATTTAGAGGAACACCTCTGAGAGCAGTTGGTAAGTGAGCCTATATTGTTCTTAAATGTTATAGAAATTGGAAGTAGGTCATTTCATCCACAATGCCTCTGAACCCCTGAAGTTGGGCCAAAGTCCATTTCTCATAGCAACGGTATCAACTGCTGTGGAATGCTTGAATGACTTTTGCTGTCAGCAGCAGCTATCTCATGCTTAAAAGGGGAAAAAAAGCCCACTTGATTTGGATGAAGGATTGCATTTTCTTTGTGGCTTTAGAGGATAGGAGCATACTGAGTAACTACCTTTAGAGATCTCATTAAGGTGATGTCAGACTGTTACAGAAGCTTACTAATGATGTGGTTGTCCTCCTCCACCTTTATTCCTGTGTGTGTTTCTTTTAACTATTTTTTTCAAATCACACCTAGATTTTTATTAATGTACTTTATTCTGCCAAGAGTGTGGGCTCCAATACTCTTATGCTATTCATTATTACCAATAATAGACGACAAAAGTGTTTTTGTCTCCCACAGAAATAAAGCTTTGAAAAATGACTGTTTTATGTGACTATAATATCTTGAAATGGTGCAAACATCTTCATTTGAACAGATGCTGTGGACAAGCAAAATGGAGAAAATAATGACCTTTCTTCTGCAAAGTCCTCAAACTCCATCTTTAACTACATCAATTTGACGTTACCAAGGAAGCGGGTACCAAAAGTAAGAAGCTTTTACCCCTTACATCTTCATCTCCTTTTAAAGAGGTTAAAGGGACACTATCAAGCCCAAAATGTAGCTTTTGCATAATTCCTACATAACAGAACACCAGCAGAAATAAAGTAATGGTCACATAGCAACAAAACAATAATTCCAATGCAAACAGATATTAAAGAAAAATCATGTTGATTTTTGTAACCTGGGCTTTTAGAGGTGCACCAATATATTGGTCCCATATCAGGTTGGCACTGATATAAGAAAAATTGACTGTATTGGCAGTCTGCTTTTTTGGGCTGGTGTGGCCAATAATGCCACTGATAAATGCCCCATGCATGCACAGCCATAGAGCAGCATGCACGTAGGCCAGGTGCGCAGCCCGACAGCATGGAGAGCAGCCAGGGTGGCTGTTAAGTCTTTTGTGGGGAAAGGAGTATGGGGAGGCAGATGGAGGCCCATGTGGTGAGGGAGGGAGAAGCCAGGGAAGAGCAGGGGACAGAGCTGCAAGTGGCTCATCTGGGGAGGGGGTGGTTCCTGCTGCAGCATGCACCCCGGGAGGGCATGGGGCGTGTGTACTCCCAGATCTGCATGCAGGGCAAGGGCGGGCTGCCACTGTGGGCTGGGACCCGAGTGATGCTGGGCTCTTGGCCCCGCTTGGGGTGGATGGTAGTGGCGATGGGAGGGGGGTTGGGGAGACTATGACAAATTTTGTGGTGGCTGCAGCCCCCCTCAATCCCTTTCCCAGTGCTGCCGCTGCCTGCCCTAAGAACAGCCTAGCCCCCTGCCAGGAAGAGCTCGGTGCTCCCCCTGGTCCCAGCCCACATCAGCAGCCTGCTCTCACCCCACGCACGACTCTGGGGGCACATGCCCCCCCATGCCCTCCCAAGATGTGCACAGTGCCTGCCCCAGCCCCATTCCCTTCCTCACTATGGGGGCCTTGATCTGTGCCCCCACACCCCTTCCCTCTCCCCTCGCCTCTTTCTCCACAACAGACTCACCAGCCGGACACTGCTCTCCACGCTGCCTGGCTGCATATTGGAATTGGATGCGTATTGACTGATATGACTCATGAAAATCAGCCATCGGTATCGGCTCAAAAATTCTGTCAGTGCACCCCTACTAACATTGCTGCACTATGCTCTGAAATTGATTAGAAACTAATAGTGATCATGATCAATTATTTTTTTGCAACTGAAAAATTGCTTTTAACTTCAGTGGGAATTTTGCATGTACAGTCAGTGAAGTACTAGGCTCTCTTTGGGAAAAAAAAAACCTAACAACTCTACATTTATTGTCCAGATGATTGTCTTGTTTTTTAACACAGAGAAACAAATTTATATTTAAGATGCATATTTCTTAGCCTGGCAATGTCTATTTCCAGAGACTTTGTCCTGTAACTTTATTCAGTTCCAGATGATTTCTATATTGCTTACAGAAGAGGAAGCTTGTTTTAAATGATTTATTTCTGGCCAATTTTTGTTGTTTTTGTTTTACACACTATGATGTATAAATTAAAAAAAAAAAATTATGAAATATTACAGACTTGCAAGAGCTATGGGAAGGTCCAGTACTTTCCCTATATAAATTACAAGTTTCTTCATCAAAGTTATTGTTATATTATGTTGCTTTATAGGAGACAGTGAAGTCTGTTGCCATGATGTATATAGACTCAAATAATAATTAAACCTCTGGAATTGTTTTTTACTTGTTTAATATCTTATAGTAATGATTTGAATGGTTGAGGAATAACATAGTGAAGGTTTATAGCACTGATGCCACATTTTCATGTTTCAGTCTCCAGAATGCTTAGAACCCAGTGTTGAAATTAATTATAAGTAATTATGTCTACTATTCTAAAATTCAGTGGGAACACTCACCAAGCATAATATTTAATACTGTAAAGGTATATCTAAACATTGCCCTATAGCAATGTAGCGATCATGCAGGTCTACACATGATCACCAGCTACATTATCGTAGCTGCGCGCTCCAAGTCAGGGCAGGCACATGTGATGTGAAGAGAAATTACGTCCTAATTAATGATTCCTGTTACCAATCAGACGTTCAGAGAAGAGGATGAAAAGAAGTAGATACATGTCTAAAGTGATTATCACCTAGGGCCCAGATTCTGCACACCCTTAGGGTATGTCTATACGGTGATGTTGTTATGGCGCCATACTGGCACAGTACAGGTGGTTACTGCACCATACGTGCAGCAGTTTGATTTCTCAGCTATTTCGCCTTAGTGACTCAGTATACCAGGGGAGCACACCTCTATGATGATGTAGCTAGCAATCTCATATAGACCTGCATGATCACATTGCTATAGTGCATTGTATATGATGTAGTGCACTGCTACATTGCTGTAGGACGACATGTGGATGTGCCCTTACAGTATTAAACATTATTCTTGGGACTGAGTGTTCCCACTGAATTTCAGAATAGTAGACATAATGACATATAATTAATTTCAAGACTGGGTTCTAAACATTTTGGACTTCCACTGAAGTCAATGAAACTTTGTAAGGAGTCTGAGTCAGCAGTATCTGATACAGGATCAGAGCCAATGAGAGTATAGGGTTAGCACTTTGGAGACTTGCCATATACTCATGTAGAATTATACTGAAAAATACTTTTCACAGTTTTAAGCTTCCCTCCACTCTTTAGTAAAAACCTACAGCTAAATGAGATGGGTAGTTGGCGGGGGGGGGGGTGTCAGTCTTTCATGTCCAACCCCACCCTTATCTTTACTTTTTAAAATAAGAGCGCTTGCAAGATCTGGCTCGAAGCCAACCTCATCTCTGTAATTTTTTAAATCTAACTGCTGTAAATTCTAACCAACCAAACCAAATTACAGCAGCTGGTGTTTCCTGAAACACAGAATAATGCAAACCTGTGAGAGGTTTGGTTTTGTGTTTCCTGAGACGTCCATGACTCTGTAATAATTCCAACAGTCATGAAAGTCTCACTTGCAGAAGACCCACTTCCTACTATGTTGTAACTTTAATCTATTGCACAGACATAAACAGATTTTTTCTGCCTGTACAGGCATGTTAGATTTTTCTTAGTTTTATCTTCCACTGCCTTGCAGATTAACTTGCAAAAGTGACAGACAGAAGGCAGCTTTTCTACTGTTTTCCAAGTCAGTGACCCTAACAGCATTCTCTTTACTTGTATGAATAATATAAAATTTTCACTGTTTTATTACTGGCTAGAAATTTGCCTCCACCTTGTCGCTTTCAATTCCAGTGTAAACATAATTTTTCTAACCCAGAAATTGCCTCAGATCTTGCAAAGATTTCCTAGACTGACTTGTGTCTTACACACTGTTAATTCCATAAACACATTTTTAAATCATGTGACCAGTCAACCACCCAGTAATCTCATATATCCTTATTAGGAAACCACTTTTACCCATCACCCACTTGCAAACAAAACAAGACTGTGGCACGCTTACCATCAAGCCCAACCAGAGGCACACCACATGAGCAAATAAACATTGTCCTCTCTTAAAAAGGATGACTTCATTGAGAGGGACTTTTTCTTATTTCCATGTTGCTACTCACAAAAGTGGACTTTTAATAGTGGAAATCTTCATATTGCACTTTTTCTACCAGTCATTAAGACGACGGACACTAGAACAGTGGAGAGGAGGAGATTATTAGAATAGTCCCGAGTGGGAGGAACAGCTTTCAGTAGTTCTTTTTATTAAATCTTGGCATGTGAGAGATCAAGCTCACACGCCAAGCATGTGTGAGCTGCAAATGTACAGCATCTTTTAAAACAATACTTACTGCCCTCTCCTGAGAAGTCTAGGTAAGACAAACAATTAGATTAGATTTTGCTTTGTGGTGTCTTGCTGGTGCCACCATCACAAAGCTTCCTGCTTTATCTCAGCCTCCAGATCTCAGACTTTGTATATCTTTAGTCTATACTCAGGGAGCCAGAATACCGAGGCCACTTCTTGTGCTGGAAGCTCTGCAGGCTTTAGCAACCACTGCTAACATGGAACACAGAAACTATTGCCCTGTAGCACCACTCAGCTGAGGACAGGAAGTTAAGAATACTATCATTGTGTGAGGCTGCCAGGGAAATGAAGCTTGATGGAGTGTAACTACCCACGTTAGAAATGGGCATAACTCTGGATTTTAAGATCTCTCCCTGTAGAAAGTGACGTAGGACACTTTCTAGAAATATAAATAGGCATGTACTTTAATGTTGCATCTTGCAGAGAGCTGGCATTTTCAACAAAACAATATTCCTTAATGACATTATAGAGTGTTGCTTGATGCTGACCTTGGGAAAGGAGTGCCACATACTGAACTTGCAGCAGTATCTGGCTTTGCCTTGGGTCTTTATCCTTTGTTGGATGGGGGACCTCAAACCTATTTTGTGAGAGTTTTGGAAATTGCTGCCTGAAGTTAGTGCAGCTGGTTTGCCAATGTGTGCTGGACTGGATAATGTTTTTTATTTTCCTATTAGTGTCAGCACTGTTCCAGATAAACTGAAATTTCCTGCACTCCAAACTGTAAAACGAGTTTTAGGTGTTTACATAACAAGGAGCACAGTCCTCAGGATTGGAGTCTCTAGGCAATTGGTTCTTTTGAGGTCCAGCTTTTTAAGAATATATAATCAAATCCTATTGTATAATATTTTGAAAGGCAACATTATCCTGTGCTCTTCGTTCTCTCGTGTGGTCTCTGCTTTATGTACAAACTATTTTTCAGGACATGTTGTACCATTACACTGCAGTCTTGCTGGGCAGACTGATGCTCACACAGGGCATGTAACTAGATTACTGAGAGCCAGTGCTTGAAAGACCTTGTACCCCTATATAAAAGGAATCAAAATATTGTCGTCTGTTTCTTTTGGTATTTGCCCAGAAGTTATGGTTGGGATAGTTTCCATTTAGTGCATAATGATTTATTATAAGCAGGGAAAATATAAAGAGGAAGCCTATATTCTTTGATCTTCCTTCCTTTTATTGCTGGCCCAGATTACTGCCTTACAACTTGGAGAGAAAAAGCAAATCATTGAACTATAGTTGACTGTTATAAGTATACTGTATAGGATGATGTTTACTAGGCAGCAAGATTTTCTGTCATGATTACTTCCATAATTTATATCAGTTAATTGTAAATTGAATCATAGGTCCAGGACTAGTTTTATTATTAACATTATTATCATTATTATTGTTGTTATTAATAGAAGCATGTTGTAAAACTCTAAATTGTTTGTGTGCACACATTTAGAATACAGAGTATATTACCTGTCTCTTCATCTGGTCTCTTATTTAACACTAAAGTTGTTAAATGTATGCATAACTTTTAAGTACGACAGCCATCCAGTTGAAGTAACTGTGAGCATGATTGGGCATAAGTCCTTTGCAAGACTTCAGTCAATTTGATTAAACTTATGGAGATAAGAATTGTTTGATTAGGGAAGCAATGCTGTATTTTGCTTTGAAGAAGAGCATTTGACAGTCTAGGGCAGAGGTGGCCAACCCACAGCTCCCTAGTCTAAACTTCTGAGTTCAAGCTGAGTAATATGCTTACTGCGAGCAGTCGCATCACATGACATGACATAATGGCTATGGAAGGTGGACACTGTGTGCTTGTCCAAAGATTCAAGGAGACGCATATTATCTTCTGAAGAGCTGCATGTGGGTCCGGAGCTGTGGGTTGGCCACCCCTAAGGTATGTGCATGAATTTGCCTGGAATCACTTGTATTAGCATCTTTCTATTCATGAATTTCAAAGCATTTAACAAGCAATCATTCACTCATCCTGGAAACAATTTTTTTTATATAGTTTTCATATAGGAGGGAGCCTGAGACCAGGAGGGAAGAGATTCAACAAAGCCTTTAAGTGTGTCTACTGTCCCAACAAAGCCCAGTAATAGGTACATTCTTACCCAGTTGGAGCCCACCTTTAAATATGGATACTCTGCCTGAGATCAACAAAATTATTCACATCATGCTGAGCTAGGGCCCTAATCAGTAGCAATAGTGGAATAATCCATCAAGCCTATAACTCCTAACCCACAGTCCCATTCTTCAGCAACACCAGATTATTGGCTAAATCTCATAATTTCCTACATGTTGAGATATTCAGCACAAATACAGTTGTGATCAACATAACTTTGTTTACCTTTGTTGCTTCAGGTTGAAAGGAAAGAAGAAAATGAAACAAAGAAAAGGCGTCGAAAGGGTCTTTCTAGTGGCTTTGAGGAGGTCAGTGTTTAGTGGCGTTGGCGTGTTTAACCCTGTCCTTTGCATAAAGCCCATGATAATGGAGCATCAGGAAGCAATTTTAACAGGGTCCTGGCCTTATATTTGACAGAAATGTGCCAAATAAGATGCACATCCCTGTTCCTAAGTGGCCTGTAATCTTTAAAAAACCTTGTTGTACACTGTGGTATAATTGGGCCTTGTTAAATATTTAGTAAAGGAAAGTATGAGATTTACATTCCATGATCCATTTTTGGATTCAAGAAATTCTTATTTACACTTCTTTTCCTGGCTCATTTAGGAACTTTTAAAACAAAATTAAATAACAGCATTTCCCTCTAGCATGTGCCCCTCTCCCTTCATGACTGTTTGTCTTTATGGCTTCCTGGTCTGTGATGCGTAATGTCAGTTTAGCCTCTGTAATCTGCATTTTTTCTCTCTCTCTTGAGGAGTGGGTCACCAGAGATAACAGTCCATCTCATACTTTCATTTACTGGCGGTTTTTTTGTTCAACAGTAGTTTTCTAATAGCCGATAAACAGCTTCCCTTTTCTCTTCATTGATAACGGTCAAGTGTCACAAATTGGTATCTTCATTATCCTCTTTCTCATGTCGTAATGTTTGGCACAATAGCTGCAATTCTCAACTTTAAGTTTTTTGTGTTGTTTTGTATTTAAACAGGCTTCAAGTTTTTCAAACCAGGAGACAAATTCTGGGAAAGACCAAGGTGATGGTAGAGAAGGGGTGAATAAAAATAAAGTCAAATCCATGGCAACACAACTGCTGGCAAAGTTTGAAGAAAATGCCCCAAACACATCGCTTCGGAGGCAGGTGAGTGATAAATGAATGTAAAATTCAGCTTTGAAATTGAAGCAGTCTTTCCTTTATGATGGTAGGTTTCAGATAAAAATTGGATTGATATTGAATTTGGGCTTGCTTTTGTTTTTATTTTTTAATTGCAAATTTTATACATATCAGATATAACTTTTTTTTCTGCATTTATGCGGAAATGTAACTGGTGGTTTTATAGACTGTCCAATGTCTACTAAATAGATGGGGGATTTGTGTTGTCAGGAAACCTGTTGTGAAGTTGTATCTAAAGTTGTGGCTTTGTAGTAGAGCTCTTTTGTTTGCTTCTTTGTTTGTTTTTATGGAGCTAGTTTGACTGGTTAAAGTATTGTTAAAAATTCCTGGTGTCCATGTTCTGTCAATACTAGTAGATGACTCTAAAGATCTAGGGTAATGATTTCATTATCTCCCTTTGTATCCCCTCCATCCCCCACCCGAGAAGGAAAACATCATCTAAAGTACAGAGCAAGGGTTTACTATTAGAAGCATGTGAGCAACTCATATCCTCATTCATGAGTTGCACTCGCAAATGGAACATGCCATGAAACTTTTGCAGTTGGCCATGGTTGGCTTGGGGAAGGCTACTTACATGCCTAAAGATAATCCTGTGTTTAAGTATTTTTCAGATTAAGAGATTATATGTTTAAAATTACATTTTATTTACTAAACAAATTTTAGCTTGTCATCCTAAGAGATAAGGAAGGAAATGCACTGAGTTTATATTGGTAAATTAACTGTGACATCCCTTCATGCCCTCTAGCTACTACAGTTTATTTACCTTTTTAGACCTCTATTCATTTTTTTGGGATGGTGTTTCCTCTCCCCCCCTCCCCCAATTAAAACCTACATGTTCCTGAAGTGACTTCCTTGTTTCTTCTTTGTTATCACAAAACATCACCCCTTGCACAATGTGTATCTGTCAGCATGGGTGTCTTCCATGTTGTTTCAGAATACCTTGTTGTGTTATTTTCTGACTATCTTTGTATTTGCTATTAAAGAATATTTAGTATTTCACATGAGTACAGTAAGAGCCAGCCTTAGAGAAAATGGTGCCCTGGGTGAACTTAACCCAAGTTGTCTTTCCTGCTTGGTGCAGAGGGCTGGACCCAATGATTGTCTGAGGTCCCTTCCAACCTTACAATCTACGACTCTATGAACTTGTATTTTGCTGTCCAGCTTCCCCGCCCCCCCCCCCAAGTCAGCGGCAGGTGGGCAGAGGCACAGGGCGCAGTCTGGCAGGGAAGTGGAGTGGCATGCTGCACCAGGCAGGTGGACGGGCAGGCACTGCTGCTGCTGTGGGCAGACTAGAGCAGACACAACCCCACACGCATATGCCTGGCCCAGCTCCTCCTGAGCAGCAGCTGGAGGTGGGGGTGGGGTGGGCTGGGCTGAGCTGAGCATCACAGCTCCTGCCTGGGGTAGGGATTGGCTGAGGCGGGGCAGGGCAAGGGAAGAGAACTGCTGTGTGCATGGGCAGCTCATGTGCGTGTGCACGTGCATATGTGTGGTACCCTCCTGATCACGGTGCCCTGGGCAGTTGCCCATGTCACCCACCCCTAAGGCTGGCTCTGAGTACAGTTTTATTGGAGGAACAGGCCAGTAAGTTGAGCATACTTGAAAAGAACTGTACAAAATACGTTGTTTAACTCCTCCTGTGGTCTCTCTACACCAGCAATTTTTCTTTCTTTTTCTGCCTCTCTCAAATAAGATTTCAAGCTCTCTAACCTTTTCTCTAATATTTTCTACTGTTTTGTATGGAACAAACAAATGGTATACAAGGAGTTAGTAGATAAACCAGCCCTTCTCTCTTCCTGTCATCCTCCTGTCAAACCTTGCTTTGCTAAGCCTCAGGATCCAAGTCCTCCACCTCAGCCCAAATGGCAGGTAGGAATATATAAGAATTACATTTAACAACGATCCTGTTTTCACTTACTGCTGTGGGACTTGGTGTCTTTAAATGACTCCTGCACACCCAAATCAGTTCCCAAATAGGATTCCATTGTTGGTAGCTCTGTGTAGTGGTTGCATGCAACAATTGCTGTTTAAAGTTTTGTGCCAGGCTGTTGAAGTGTTGCTGCTCAATCTAAGGTGCATGTATCCAAAAGACAGTAAACAGATATAACACAACTTGAGTTGTTTTGCTTTTTCTTAGTCTAATTAATAAAAAAAGGATCATAAAGCTATAATGGTATGTTACCTGATCCTGACTGGATAGGAAACCTACTTAAAATGATTAGTGTTAGCATTCAATGCACCCTAAAAACACATGGGTCAATTTCTGTTTCTTTAATCAAGCAGAACTCCCACAGACTTCATTGGAGAAGTCATGCATTTATATTAGAAGATATTGGAGTAGCAATGTGTTGATGCATGCATGTACTATGTGGTTTGTTTTGTTGGAATGAAACAGGAAATGCAGTTTTACTTAATAAAACCCTGTGATTCAATATGAGTAGTGATGCAACAGGGGGTTTAGGATTGGGTGTAGATAAGTATGCAAAAGTTAAATTGATTGTTCATTTTTCCATATCTTTTGTCTGGAGTCTCTAATATTTTATGACAACAATCTCCCCTGAAAACCCCACTGCAATATTATATTCACACAGTAAAACCTTGACAAACTGAGGAAGTTTTAAAAGCAACCTCATATCAAATAACATTAAGACCCATTTTAACATGTATGTATTTATTTATTTATAAACCTGATCTTTGTGGCATGCCAGTAATAATTTGGAATAAACCAGAAACCTGAATTAAATGTGAAAATGGGCCAGGGGGCAGAGACATAGCAGAATAGCTTTGTGCCCTGAGCAGCTGTAGGGTGTGGGCCAGTGCTGGCTGCCATGATCCCAATGGCAGTGTGCAGCTGCTGCTACTGCAGCTATTTTTGCATTGCCCCTTACACCCCGCCACCTCTGTTAGGCTACTGCCAGGAGGTCTGCCGTAGAATATAAAGCCATCTCCCATACTCTTTCTTTCTGAAGATGAGAGCTCAGTGAAAAATACAAGTAATGAAAAAGCTTTGATTTTCTTGAACTGGTTGAGAAGTACTTTTAAAGTAAAATGGGGCTTTTTTACACAGTAGTTTTGGGTACTATCTGGAGCTCTTACCCCCTGAATTGGTTGCATGTTAACACCTTTTAAGTGTCTTAAAGCACTCATTTGGTTTAAAATTACACCACTTCAGAGCAAGACTATATTCAGTCTGCCCAATTTTTCTCTTTGTCCCATTAAGGTGTGGCCACTTCCCACAGTTATTCTACCTAATCTAAAGTCCTTCAACTTCCCAGGATGCAGTGGACAAGCAGGGCCACAGTGGGCTGGGGGGGAGGGAGGGGCAAGCTCCGGAGAAAACAAGGATCAGGCCCCTCGGATCTCAGGTGGTTCCAGGGTGGTGGTGGAGCGGGGGCAGGCTGAACTCTGGCAAAAAAAAAAAAAAGGAGTAAGCCCCTTCGAGGTCAGCTGGCTGGACAGTGCCTGAGCTCTAAGGGGCCAGATCTTTTTTTTTCTCTGGAGCTCACCCCCTTCCATGCTGCCACCAGCAGGAGCAGCGAGCCAGTCTGGGTGGCAGCAGGGGGAGGATAGGCTTCAGAGAAAAAAAAAAGATCAGGGTCCTTAGATTTCAGGTGGTGCCTAGATAGCTTGCTGTCAGCCTGGAGCAGTGTGCCAGGAGCGTGGGCTTCAGAGGAAAAAAAAATCAGGATCCTCAGAGCTCAAGCAGTAGGAAGCAGTGTGGCCCCCAAGCACTCCAGGGTTACAGCCGTCTGGCGGGAGCAATGAGCCACTCCTGCCCCTAATGTATTTTTTGGCATTGCAGCCAATTCCAATAAATACTACAGAGTAAAAATGAAAGACAGAAAATGTGAAGACCTTGTGGCTGACAGCACTGACTTGGTTTGTACTAAGAAATACTTTATGTATAGGCTCGTAGTCCTGCCCCTATTCACCAAGCCTCTAGTGACAAGTCACAGCTGTACAAGTGAAGGATAGTCACAGTCTCATCAGAGGTGGCTTGTCTCCTTATGGTGCAACTGCTTCACTGAGCTGATTTAACATTTGTTTGGCTTACAGCATAAGGGGTAAAAAGGGCCACCCTTGTTGTACCTGTAACAAACAGTACGCTGATGGGCATTTTGTTTATCAGGAATATGACCTTTATGTACATTTAAATAAATTGGTCAGGCATCCTAAAATAAAGGTCTGGCTTCAATAAAATACCAATCACATTTAATTACAATACAGGCGGCCCTTGCCATTTGCGGGGGATATGTTCTGGAGATCCCCGCGAATGGCGAAATCTACAAATACGGTACGGGGGGTGGGGAGGGGTATGGCTGCGCTGGCAATTGGCGGGAGCCCGGCGACGGCAAGCGCAGAGTTCCCAAGGAGTTCCTGTAAGTGTATTTAAGATGTGGGTTCAGCATTTGCAAATATTTGAAACCCCAAATGCCATACCCACGAATAGTGAGGGTTTCCTGTACAGAGCCTCCATTTCAGATCAAAGGCCATTTTTTTGTAGTCCGAATTTTTTAGACCCTTTTTGAACTGCTGCACCCCCCCCTCCCCCCCCCCAAAATCTTTTGCCTCACAATATTCACAATGTATTTCTATAAATTTGGGAGAAATTACCAGTAGAATTATGCCAAATAAATGGTACACTTTTGATGTTTGAAGTGTAAAAATACCTAGCAGTGTAATGCAGGAATAGTGCTGCAGAATACACAATGGTTCAGAATGTTTATTCTCTTCCAAGTAGCATCAGTGGAATTATGTCTAAGGATCAGAAGGTGGCTCGACCTCAGTTTACAGTGGCCTGCATGTGTTGTACAGTACTAGTATAATGCAGTGCATGAACATATGCATGAGTTAAATACTGTATGTTGTAATATGTACAGTGTTCCAAGACATTAGAGAATCACTGCAGTACATTAAGTGCCTTGCTAGGTGTCTAGTTGTGGCATACTGTTATAGAGGCACTCTTGGAAGAAGCATGTAGTGCATGATGGTATAGAAAGCAGGCTTTCTTCATTTGAAGTGTTTCCCAGTTTCAGGCGGTAGCTAGAACTGAACATGAGGTACGAGAACCAAAACAACCTTTTCATGATTCTGATCATATGGCCAAGGCATCACAGAGCACAGAAAAAGCACACAGGCAGTCCAGTCTTTCAAGAAACTCAGAAACTCTTGCATCTGGCTGTCTTGCTGCCTCTGTACTGTCTGGAGTGCTTCAGCGCCTTCAGCATGTGGAAGAAAAAATTCATCAGGTGACAAGTAATTTCTTTTACCCTTTTCTGTTTAAGCTATGCTTTTATTCTGGCAATACTATGTATGCTCTTTTTTTTCCCTATGTCCCTCAGCTTTTCCTTTTTAACTACAGTTTCTATAGTAAAGAAAAAAATGTTGCCTTTCCC